CACCCCCGTTCCTCAACCAACTCCTCTCTCCGAACCTGCCGAGCCGCGATGCGGCCGCACACGTTGGCCGACTGCAAATAGCCTGCCACAAAGCCCGCGGAGTTCGTGTCCTCCTCAGGTCGCGCGGTTTGATCCAGCGGGAAGCACTTACTTGAGCCTTTGGAACCGGGGGCTTTCGGGGAGGTCCTTTTGTTTATACCAAAAGAGATAAAACGGTGGAGTGGTCCCATCATGGATGAAAACCTAGGTTCTCGAAGTTCTCGATGTCCTACCATAAATCTGTTCCTGACTTGTGGTGGCAATGAGGGGCAGCCGAGAACAAACCAACAAAATGTTGACATCATTGGGGTCTGATCAGGAAAAATCAAAACAAATCATAAACCAACCTTTGGGTATTGTTTCATGCATGGAGTGTCAATACCCATGGCTATATGGTTCACCACTGGGAGACCGACCGGTTGACCACCAACCTACCAGGGTTTTCGTTCCGGGTTCCAGGTGCCACGACCCACGGATCCTAACTTAAAGGATTCTGAAAGCGTCTAAACTCCCATCCATGCAAGTGTTCGAAGTCTGGAGCTGGCAACTTCAACCTGGACCAACAGTACATTATACATCTATACATCTAGACAACTGTTTTTGACAACAGTTGCTTTATACCTTATACATTATATTTTTTAAAAGTTTATACATCTATACAACGACTTTCAGGTCCATCAGTGCCGACTCCACAGCACTTGTCCCGGAACCAGATCAAACACATGCCTCCTCTGACCGGACCGGCCCAACCGATTTTGTGCGGTTCGCCCGAAGGTCCACCGGAGAATTCGCATTCGGTCCCACCCTCCGAGCATCGGTCCACTTCATGTCGGCCGTCAACACGCCCGCATAGCCTCGGAGCATCATGTCCCGCAGCCAACGGCCGGACCAACGACCGGCGACGGCGGCGAAACGCAGCGTGCGCCCCCGGGGCATGGTCCGGCGCGGAAGGCGAGGCGAGCGGCGCCGGAACGGCAGATCCCAAAATGGTCAAAGCATCGTGCGGAGTGGCATGGAGCTTGCTCCCCTGTTTTGCGGTGATCGTTGCAGTGTCGAAGGATTGACTCCGGCTTTGGGATGATTGCATTTCCACCTCACTGGTGAAAGTCCCTTCGATTCTGTGGGCGAGATCGAGCGAGAAACGGCAACCATCCCCACTCACTCACTGAGCCTGGCCGAATGAACGCAACGAAAAAATGTTGTACAGTATATAGTATAGATATACAAAGGCAAGCAAGGGACCACGAAGGTTGTGGCAGCTTGTTGGCAACGGAGATCCTTACAACCATGTGACCATGTGGACCTGAAGGCATGACATCCCATCAAACAAAATATGTTAATCACAATATACACGGGACAAGCTGCCCCAATGCTCATCATCTGCATTGTGCATCGATTCGCACAACATGACAATATCAGTATCTATATGATAATATGACAATTGTATAATATTGTATGCCTATATATATATACACCTATTCCATCCCCACCATTCTTTGTAGCTTCTCTCTTCAATTCTCTTCCCCTCGAAAAGCTCCTCTCACTTGGACCGACCATTCCACAAAGTGTTTTCCGCACCATTTGTCTCCCCTTGTCCGTTCTCGGCAGCCGGCTGAAGAGTGAGCACACAGTGTAGAAGTGAGCGCTGTCCATCATACAAAGAAAGGCCAAGTGCCATCCTTGGATGAATAGAGGTCCATGAAAAGGCTTTAGGAGGCCAAGCTGACCCAAACTGGTGGACAGTGATGGTTGGGGTGAAGCAATGAATGTTCCTTGACGTACTTGGTCGGCTGCTTTGCTCGAAGGGATAGAATGCCAAATGAACAAAACTCTAGATCTAGCATTCATAGAGATCGGCTGTGGGACAAAAAAACGCCTCCTTCTAATCGGCTATCTCTTTTTGTGGCCCGACCCACCAAGTGCAACTGGGGTCTGGAGTCAACATCTTGTATGGTCTCTACAGTACCTGGAAACCTCCATGTTGGGTCATAGGATGTCATTTTCCAGGCCAAGGAAATAAAGCTTCAAACACACAACGTTTCGGCTTTGGGGAAACCACGCCACAAGACACTGAAGATCCACGAGAAATGACCTCAATGGGGCTGGCCACCATTGAACATGCAGATCGCTGATGTGGTAACATGCAGATTGCGAGGCAAGATCCTCCAACACAGCGTCCAAGCCGCAGGGAGGGGATCACCATCAAAGCCGGTCTCAGGGGGCCCAGTCTTAGACAAACACCAAGGATCGTGGCAAGGGGGCCTCGGCCACGTCTCCTTCGCGGCTCTTCGCCATCCGTGAAGCAGCCCAAGCGGCTTCGCTCCATGGGCAAACGCCAACCAAATAGTTACATTGCACAGTGACTCCCAAGATGAGTATCAAGTGGATTGCATTGAACCAGTGGCTCCAACAAAACATAATGGATTGCATTGATCAAGCACACATTCCCTAGAAGCGGCCTAGTGCCTGCTGAGCTAATAGGTCTGGAAGGGCCTCTGTTTGAAACACCATGCTTTGGGTCTACATCTACTTTTCGGGTATGGATTGCCTTCGGGTGTGAGCTGATACAGGATGATACAGGGTCGCTGACATGTCCCAAAACCTTTGCCAAAGAATTAGCTTCAAAGCACTGGGCCAGCAACCTTCTGCATTCAAATCTTCAGACAAAAACAACGAATCGCAAACGGGACAGGAGCAACGGAGCAAGCCATATAATTCTAACTATAACTATATATATATATATAATTATAGTGGCCTGCAGTCACTTAGAATATTACCTAATGCCCCCGGGGCATTAGGTGATTATTCTATATCTTTTTGGGGAAACACTTAGAATATTGGTTGGATAGGTTTGGATGAGAAGTTGAAGAAACACATGTCATGGGTGGGAAAAGGTAGCGCAGTGAATCTGAGGTATGCTGAATATTCTATCTGCTGGCTTCAAAAAACTGAACAATTCTATCTGTTAGCTTCTAAAAATTATTCTATGTGTTACCTAATGCACCTTAATATTCTATCTGTCTGAAGTTCACTATACATGAACTCAGGGCGAGGGGTCATTCACTTGTCATGCTCAGTCATGCTCTTAACACTGGTTCCCACCCAAAAAGGCTTGTGGGGTTTCGCGAAAAACGTCTGCTGATCCGTGGCTCTGTGGTGGAGGAACGGAAAATCCTTCCCTTCCCCCCCCCAACCTATACCACCTCACAGCCTGAGGGCCCCAACGCACGCGCCTTGCCCTGATGAAGCACAGCGAGGCGACATGTGGGGTGAGACCTTCTTGGACTGTGATGAGTTGATTCAAAAATATTCAAAGCACAACAGGACGCGGTTGGGATCCAAAAGTGGATTCTCGCCGACGAGTTTTTTCACGCTGCGTCGCCCGCCAACGCTCACACGGCATAGCAGTGTGGAACCAACAGTGGATTAAGAAGGTGAAAGGCAACAGCATTGCACTCACCAAGGCCCATAATCCTCTTACTTGCGCAACGCGTTGCGCAATGCGACGGACCCAAATCTCTTGTGATCGGGGGCCGAAGCATTCCAGGTGTTCAAACAAACCACGTCCACGGAACCGAAGCATTCCAGGTCAAACACGGATCCGAAGGGAAGGGGATCCGAGGATCCCAAGAAGTTCCCTATAGAATTGGCTTTGCTGGTCATCCTGGGCCCGTGTTGTGCAGTTATACAGCTATAGCATGCTATAGCAACATAGAGTCCCCACAACAAAGGGGCCTCCAGTGTGACAAGCTTGAACACCCTGCACTTCAAGTCAAAGACGCCTGATCAGCCATGCCACAACCCTGGCTGTATGAGGGAGCCTTGTTCCCAACCCTGAAGGGCTGTGGCTAGTTATCGGATGGTCCATGGCGTGCCAAATGGTCAACAAAGTGACAAACCAAAAGCCGTGTTTTTCAAGTTGTTTATTTATTCTTCTCTCTGCTTGAGGATGCACAGTTTACCAAATGCGTATTGCGTCTAACGGTCTTCACATGTCTTCACCCAAGCTTGATTCTGCCACAGAGGGTCCACATTTTGAGACATGCCCAGAACAGAAACAACTCCTCTCCCGCATCCAACAACATGCCTGTGAGTTGCGGAGGGTTGACATGGCCCGGTCAGCCGCTGAGGCGGCCAAGGCCGAGACCTCAGGAGAAGGATGATTCATCCAGCAGGAGTGGCAGTGGAACAATCGTGATCGTTCACGGAATGTACTTCACTGAGGTTCCACTGAGACTTCTTGCTCAAGAATCTCCATCTTGGAAAGTCTAGAAAAATAGAAAGAAACCGGCCCTGCGCACCAGTCGTGCCTTAGCAATCTTCTCCTCCTGAACAGGGATCAGCCAAACGACGTAAATCGAAACACGAAACGGGGAGCGTGCGCGGCATGCGAAACCGTTGGGAGATACAAAGCCTAGATGATGACCTCTCGCTGGATACACATGATACACCACCTCTATCAGGTCGATCCTCGCTTCGCCCGCCTTATCTGAGCCGAAGTAGTAGTCCTCCAGGTCGACCAGCTCCTGCGGATTCCCGGCAGTCGGGTGGACCGGCGGTTGGACGGTCGAGTCGGCTCCGTCCTGGTCGAGTCGGGTCCGGTCGTGTTTTCCTCGCCGACGTGGTGGTGTACTCAGGGTCCATGGCGATCGTCGACACCAGGCCGTATTGAGAGAGTTTTGGGGAGGTGTTCAGATGTGTTCAGCCTTTTGGGGAAGCTTTGATGGGCTGCCTCGGTGGAGAATGAATCTATATAAAGTGTTGGCATTCTCCTTACCAGTGCGTGCACGCCTGCCGCCTACCTGTTGACGACTTGCCTCAACTACACCAGTCGTTCTTTCGTTGGTCCATGCCTGTTCAACTTGCACCCACAGAAGTGTAAAAGCAAAGACTGGAGAGTTGCTATGAAACTGCATGAGACTACATTTAAGAGGTCCAGTAAAGTGGGAAAGTCCGTGACCCTACTTCTGATCACCCTTTTCTCGGCTCTGCGCCAACAAACTGCCAAAGGTCCCTGGCGGATGCTCGTTCAGCCAACGCTTCCGCGGCGGTGGTGCCGGGTGATCCAGCAAATGCGTGTGATCCGGTGCAGGTGGCAACCTCGCTCGGATCACACAGCAGCATGTTTCTTGACCCAGGGTGCCTCCTCATTGGCACCATGACAACATTTGATGTATATAATTACATTTGATTGCGCAGTTTATTATATTGATTGTATGCAATCACATGATACTGTATGTGCACATGTGCATGCGCACGCCAAAAGACCACTGAAGAACTACTTGCGACACTATGGCCAAGCGTTTTGAAGACTACCCGTTCGACGATTTCTGGTCATGCCATGCCCAAACTCGCTTCTGTTCAAAGATTCTGCCGAACATGCTTCAATTGTCGGCCGCATCAGGATTCGCTCCAGCAACGCCTGTCGGTTTTAGATGGTTTTAATATCTATTTCTCCTCTTCCAGGGGCAACGTGGAGCATGTTCAGAGGATTCTTTGATGAATGGGAATTGACATGCTTGCACTTGGGGGATGATCAGCCTTATAAATCCAATCACCAGTTCTTGTCCAGGTCAAGGTGCGTTCTGCTTTTGACCCCGGCCCTTTGTTTCGCCCACCTCGAACTCATTCAAATTCCTAGACAAAGATCCACGAAAGACTTTATCACCAGCCCCAAATCATCCATACGACTGGACAAGCTACTTACGATGTACTTATATGGATGGGTCGTTTTCATGAGTATTCCAGGAATTCGTCCCAGGAACGGTCTGGGAACCATGGTTTTTTGTTTTTTCCCGAATGCGTAGCGAAGGGCTCCCGTTTATAGTTGGGGGTCTGGGGGTTGGAGCTATGTTTGCGTGGCGTGCGTCGTCTCGTCGTCTGTCGTCGTTTGTCGTCGTCTCTCGTCGTTTGTCGTCGTCGTCGCGTCTCAAATTTGCATTGGCGTGTGAGCGGATGTTGTTTGACTGTTGTTTGGAGGGGCTGGAATCGCGAAACTGCTTGGCAGGGCTGCGTGATGTGTGTGCTCCGATGGGTGTTTCCGCTTGACTTTTGGAGCAAGTCTCGTACGAAACGCTCGTTTTGCAGACTTTCCACGGTGAGTTTTTGAGGACGTCTCGTACTAAACGCTCGTTTTGGAGACTTGACGTGTGACTTTTTGAGGAAGTCTCGTACGAAACGCTCGTTTTGGAGACTTGATCCCACAAGAGTGCCCTACAAGAATGTCCCACAAGAGTGTCCTACACGAGTGTCCCACAAGAGTGTGCTACAAGAGTGTCCCACAAGAGTTTCCTACAAGAGTGTCCCACAAGAGTGTGCCACAAGAGTTAAGAGTGTCCCACAAGAGTGTCCTATAAGAGTGTCATTTGGACATATGTAGCTCTTCGATCGTGTTTGCATTCGGGTTCGTGGGCTCGTACGACTGGACAAGCTACTTACGATGTACTTATATGCCCAGGAATGGTCTGGGAACCAGGGTTTTTTATTTTTTTTCGAATAAGCTGGACTGTAAGACCTCCTTGCTGGCCGCCGGTCCAAGCCACTCTCCAGCGGCGATCCATCGCTCGGCGGCTTTCTCTGGGAGCTCCACTTTCTCCGGTGGGTTTGGAGGGAGGTCTTCCACTGAGGGCACTGGGGCATAGGCAGGCTCACGGCCTGCACGGAAGAAATTGCGGCCAAAGTGCGTGACATCCTGGTAGTGGGATGTATTTGGGTGGAAATGACATAGATTGATCACACTTCAGGCTGCAACCAATCCTAGGACTGCTCACATTCTAAGTCGAAATTATGCGGTCAAAGTCATGCCGCGCATGAGCACCGATATGAGCATCAAGACTACAGTATCAGGTATGCGAGTTATGAACTTGTGACGCATCCAGTGCATTGGAACGTGACTGGAACCAACTCAACTGCGGTGTTGCCCCTGGGCCTCTTGAGATCTGCAGCCGGCAAATCACCAGCCAACAGGCACACAAGGTGAGTGTCACCTCACGTGTTGACTGCAAACATCCACTCCACATACCATCTCACTGTGTGACACCAATCAGCGCGCGCCGCCATGTTTCACGTATGCCGCCGGTGTGTTACGTCGGGTGTTTTTCCAGCCAACAAATGCAGGCATGACACTTGTTTTATGTTGAGCTCAATTGAGTTCCAGTATAAGCTGAATGGCGTTGAATGGCCCTTACAGTGTAATGGTCATTCAAAGAGCCGATTCTCCGATCATCCAGGTCATTTTTAAAACCAAACAGAATGGCCATTATACACATCAGTTTGTAGAACACCTGCTTTGTCAAGCTCTATATTACTCTATATGAATCCATCACTATTTCCAGGCGCCCGGGATCTTTAAAAAATCTGTTTGGAACGCCCAGCGCATCCAAAAAGCCCCTTCTTTCCAATATCCTTCCACCACCAAGCGGCCCATGCAGCGGTCAAGAGTTGCATCTCTTCCCAGCCCCCCACGCGCACGCCCCGCACGCGCGGCAGCCGTGTGTGCCCGCCAAAAGCGTGGTCAAACTCACGGCGGCTCAGGCAGTGGTCGCGGTTATGGTCGAGAAGATGAGCTGCTGGCTGCCAACGTGGCGCCTGGAAACCATCAGCTTCCCCAAGAAGGAACATGGACTGAAATAATGATATCCAATTAATGATAAACCATGATAAACCCATGACTTCTTTTTGTTCTGGAATATGGACCTACAGTCCTGCGTTTCAGTTGAGCCTGGATCCAGGTGGACGATCCTTTTCCACCATACCACGGAATCGACTTGAAAACAGTCTGACTCGGGATCGAAACAACGGGATCGACCCACCCACCACAGGCGGCCCGTCCACTGCGGCGCCTCCGGCATATGCCCCCAAAAGGCTTCGAAGCGGCTCCAGGGCAAGAGCCCTGCCCGTGGGGGCCAACAGTATGTTTCGGATCGTTTCCTTTCCGTCCTGAGTCCTCCAGCTGCTCTATTCACTCGAGTGTTGAACTCGCTCCGTTGCAACCGAGTTGTCTGGGTGGAGGCATTAGAGTCTAGTGCAGGTTGGGTCATGAGACACCCTCTAATAATCCGACTTAATCCCTCTGCATCATGATATCGATTGATATCCATTTTTATCACCTTCCAATTCATTTGGCTACTGCTTCTGATAAACACCAACATCTGGGCACTGGCTTCATTGGCCCAGTGGCGCCACCATGGCCCGGCCTTGCTTGGCCAGTGGCGCCACCAACTCGGTCCAGGCTCTTTGGGATGAGTTCTCATCTGTGCCTGGGCACGTGCCCCCCCTCGCGGGCCCCTCCATGCAGCAGCTTATGCAGCATATATCCACGTCATAGCGCATCTCTTAAGATGGGACTGATACGGATGTTTTTCCTTCAACAAGAATCAAAAGAAGTATTTCCTTCAACAAGAATCAGAAGAAGTTTGACAAAACCGACCGGCACCACCGTACCTGGTACCTCCACCACCTTCCACCAGCACCAACGCAGCCCCCTTGGCATCACCCAGCTGCCGTAGCGTGCATGGGCCCAAGCGCGCCAGGCGTCCAGCGCCTCAAGCGCTTCCGAGGTGTTCAGTCCGGCGCAGCCCTGCGGGGCGGGCGAAGCGCAGGGAGCTGCCCCGGTGTAGCCTGAACTGCTTGGCCATGCTGGGCCACCGGACTGCAGGGTGGAGACTTTTATTGGGGGTCAATTCTTTTGGAGTTGGGGCTCTGAGGTGAAAATTCTTTCAGGGTCCAGTGTCCTCAACACATTCGATGCATGTACTGCTGACTCCTAAATAAACTGGGGTGCCAAAAGTTGCGCTTCTTGACTTCTAAAACATCACAAACCCTTTCCCCTTAGAATCCTACGTGCAACATGTCGACACCTCAGTTGCGTTCAGATTTCCACACCTGAAAGCCTTATAAATATTATAAATTTAAACGGGTGTGGAAATCTGACCGTGCTGTACCTGCCACGAAAAATGGACGTGTTAATCCGATCCGCTGTAGACCGCAAGTGTCATGTTGGAACAGAGTAAGAAGCGTAAACTTTAGGGTTCTTGAAGTATGAATTGTACAAAGATAAGTGTATAGATATAGCCTTAGGATTTCGTTGTCAAGGCAGAGTTTGGAAAAAACTGTCCCTTGACATTCACCAAAAGCAAGACTTTACTATATAGACTATAGAGCTTCGTACAAGAATGATCAAGAATGGATGGCCACAATGAAGGCCAAGGTCCTCCAGTTTCCCGTTTAAAAACGAGGTCTTGGATGCTTGTGCTGACCCAAAAAGCATCTCAACTGGTACAAAGGAACTGTAGCGGAGCTTTGTCTCGCTATAGCCCGGGGAGCCCGAATGACACCGCAGCAGCAGCAAGAGTTGGGTCGGAAGGCGGCCTTTGACCTGTGGCGGGGAGGAGTTAAAGCTCAGCTAGATGTGTGGATCGTGGAGGCCATTACGACTAGTACAAGAAGCTAGTAACAAAGGGCGTCGCTATTAGCAAGGACGCTACTAGTAGCTCCTGGCCTTACTACTATATACAGGATTTTTTAAAAAAAAGACTACTAGTTACTAGTACTGTAACTAGTACGAGTAACAAGTTGTTGATCATGGAAAGCCCCCCCTGAGCACTTTCAGGACCCCTTAAGCTTGGACGACTTGGCTGGAAAACGATGGCATGGTTCTGAATCCAGCAAGGCCCGCGGGCGTTTAGAACCACCGTTCATCCCGATGTTTGGGGGACCGGCTCCCGCCGCAGAATCGGGGCGATGCTAGGGACGCCGTTCCTTTCGAACGCCGTTCCCTCAGGCGACCTTTGGTTGATTTAGGTCCGGAGAACCATGGTTTTCATCGACATCCATGGGTGTTTTGGGGTGCTTGGAGTGGAAGATGTGCCCACCAGCACCCAAAATCGCCCCACTCTTCCCCTGATTCCACCGATATCGGGATACCCATCGTCACGGCAGCTTCCGTGCCCGCCCCATAGCGTCCCAGGATTCACGGCTCCGCACGGCTTGTCGCACGGCTCAGCTTTCTGGATCTTCCCAGTGACCAAACTTGATCCCCTGAGGTTTGAGGTCACAAACAGCTTAGTAAAAGGTCACAATATATATAGGTCACTGGATGGGACTCCAAAGTGACCGAACACTGGGAAGGTCCTGGTTGGTCCTGAGCGTCTTTTTTCTAAGCAAACGGGTTCGCATCATCAGATCGGGTTCCCGCCAAGCGCCTCCAACCTGTCCGTTGGGGTGAGACGGTCGGCGCAGGCTCTTGCTGCGCCTGCGCCACCGGCGTGGCTCTTGTACCGCCTAGGCGTGCATGTTCGGCCTGAGCCCCTTCCAATTGATGCGTCAGCTGTGCACTGGCCTGCTTGGAAGCTAAGCGCACCTCATCAGCTTCAGCCAGCAGCTCCGCCAGCTCCACTTTTGCAGCCTTCAAGGCCTCGATTTCAGGCCCCTCCCGTGCCCAAGAGCCCTCAGCCGCACGCGCACGCCAGGCGCGCTCCGACTGGAGCGCCTGCTGCGCGGCCACTTGGAGCTGTCGCAGCTCCGCAGCGTGCTCATTCCGCAGCTTCTGCAGCTCATGCTGTGCCTCCTGAAGCACTTCCAAGCCCCGCTCGGCTGCCTCGGCTCTCGCGCGCGTGGCGTCGCGCCGCTCGACAGCCTCCTGGATCTGCCCGCGCAGGGCCACGACCTCGGAGCGCAGCTGCCGCAGCTGCTCGTCCTGCGCGACCAGAGCGGCCTTGCGACCCTTGCGCAGCTCATGGTGGCATTGCAACTCAGCTTGGGCAGCGCTCACCTCTTCCCAAAGATCACTACTTTCTGGCGAAACGTCCTCCTGGCCCTCGGATGCGTGACCACCTCGACCAGACGCGGCAGATGCCGCGTGCGCGTGTGCACTCGCCTCGAAGTAGGCCTCGGCCGGCTCGTCGCCCTCGCCTCGCCCGGTGGCTTCTTCCACCAACTTCACAGCGGCGGAGCTCAATTCACCTCCAATGCGCGAGGCCTGTGAGATGAGACTTCGGTGCTGCTCCACCGCCTGCCGGGCCGAGGTGATCGAAGCTCCATGACGTCTCTCCAGTTCATCACCCCAGTCGCTCAAAGCACGGAAGGTGTTGCGCAAGGAACGACGCCAGACCTTCTCACCATCGGCCGGTGGCTCTCCATGCATCGCGCATCGTGAATCAAGCTGGAGGACTGTCGGAAGACTAGGGTCCTGTATGGAGCCCAAAGCTAGCAGCACAAACACTACTATACAGTTAGTCACTACAGTTAACACTTCAATCTGCGCGGTGCCAACAAATCTGTCCGGGAGTGTCACATCATTGAGTCTAATCATAATTTACCTTTCTATTGGTTGTTCACTTGGGGGCATCCTTTCTATTCATCAACCAACCAATGGTACAAGGATGTACCAGGCAATCGCTTTGAAGGACCCCTGGTCTTCGCTGTGGTCGCTGCGGTCAACAAAAGCACGGTGTTTCTCCAACGGTTTCGGACACCGACCGGATCCGGTGTGGCGCCTCAAGCCATTCCATGGGCATCTCACCACTGTAGACCAGCGTGAGGTTGCCCAAGTGGCCCTCCGTCTCCTCATCGTTCACCGAACCATCACGATGGCTCACCAAGAACTTGTTGAGCTCGGGGTCGTAGAGCTTCCTGGGACGTCTGGAGCTTCGGGACGTCTGAAGAGTCTGGAGTTGGGGTCCTAGAGAGCTTCCAAACCCACATGTCTCTGCAGGCACAGCCAGGGACATAACCATGGCCGAACATATGAGCAAACCAGTGAAGAGGGCACGAACCGCTTTGGCAGCCAAATGGACCTGCAACAAGGGTATAGCAAGCTCATTATAGAGTATGACTTGAACATCCTGGGACATGATGAATCTTGGCATGATTCAGCCAAGAGTGGGTCTTATTCATGATTCGTTTTCACATGTTCATCCAGGAGCTGTTCATGAATTCTGGGTGGATCCTGAATGAGATGGCCCGGCCAACGAAGCAAACCCTCACCGGGAGATCGCACTCAACATGCACAGTGTCCAACCCGGACAAGCAGTTTGGAACTCCAGGGCAGTGGAACTCCCACCACTTGAACAAATGATATGTCCACATATGGGCACCTCCATCCCACATGCTGGTGAACCTTCTTCAGTTCTTCAGTCCTCAACTTCTTCCAACCTCCCCATTCCCAACTGCTAAGCATCAACTCAGTGCTCGTCAAGGCGTTTGAGGTGACCACGTGGAGGGAGAAGTCTTCCAAGCCTCTGGGAAGTTCCACCATCGAGGTCTGACCTGCCACGTTTCGAACTGAACCTTCAGACTCGCTGCAGGAAAGCTCGCTGCGAGAGAGCTCGGAGGGTCTACCATGGAACCATGGATGAGAACCTTGGGGTGAAGCTCAGCAGCTAAGCCCAACAATACACACTGATTTTTTCAACTGAGCTTTGCCGGGCTTCGTGCCTCCTGCGGGGTTGGGAAGGCAAACCCGAGCCACAAGCTACCAAGCATGATCTGACCCAATGCGACCACAAACCGGCACCGCCGTTATGGTTGTTGACGCACAACCATAACGGAGTATAGCCCATCGAACTCATATATATATATAATATATATATATTTTTTTTTAGCTGCTTAAAGATTGAAACATGTGGTCGGCAGGCATGTGCGCGAAATAAAGATCAAACAGCGAAAGCTTGGTCAGCTGTCATGGGTCATGAGATGATATGCAATCTACTACAAGTGTCTAGAACGCACGACGGATGTTGCTCTTAAGGAAACGCCCGACAGGCTGGCACTGATTCCTCTCGAATTCCGCGAGGCGTCTGCATGCGCAATGGCATCCAGAAAGGTCATGGCTTGCGCCAAGGAACAAGCCACATGTGCTACCTGAAAAAGGTGATGGTCCATCCATACCTCTAACAGTCGAGTGCCATTCAGAGGCCCCCCAAAAAATGTATATACTCCACATATCCTCAGTGCTTTCAATGACTTTTTGGAGGTCTTGGCCTTTTTGCCCTCAAGGCCCCGAGACACCACAGCGACATGATGTCACGTCGACCTGGCAGGTGATAGATCTCCACTTCGGCTCGGCCGCCATCACACGCGAAGATGAGTGGGGAGCTTCGGTAGTAGCCCTGGGGACAGTGCGGCGCCGCGTCGGGAGCCATGGCAGACGGGCAAAGCAAGGCATGGCCCTGAGCACTTGGCCAAAGTGCGTTGCAAGTAAGTTCATAGAACCAAGATGAACCAAGTCTGGCGCCAGACCGGAGGTGGAACTGATATCCACCACCAAGTAAATACCAAGTGGTATATATTGTAGCAAACATGGTCCTTGGCACTGTGAAATAGGATGAAATAGGTGATTCTGTGGCATGCCACACTACTTTCTGCATCTTTCTGCCAAGTCCAAAACTTGCTTATGGCTTATGTCTTTCCAAGAGCCTGACTCATGGTATGCTATGACAGCGTCCCAAGTCTTCATTCTGCTAAGTGCACTGTCCCGATGTCACGAAAGCATTGGCAAGTGCCCAAAATAAATATAAGGAGTCTTGAGTCTCAAAAAAATTCTGCAAAAGAGCAAGGATAACCGGAACATATGCTCAAAGGTTCTAATATGTTCTAATCTTCTGACTTCGTTCAAGTTTCCCTTCGTTCAAGTCTCCCGGCCCTATAGGATTCTGCAGACAAATATCAGAATCTGTGAGGCAAAACAGATGTGTTCGAGAAGCTCTCTGTATTGGTATGTATTGGTTCGTGAGCTCAACCCCATGGGCCCATGGGTATGTATAAGGAGACTGTAGCTGTTTCCTGTAACCTGCCACGCTCAGCCCGCAAACCGGGGTTGCCACCAAAAGAGTCCTGTACCAGCTGTCCGCCCCAGTCAAGGAGCTCCTGCAGGCAGGAGAAGTGCAGAATGCACCAAGGGCGGCTTGAAACATAAATGGGTTCATTGGTTTTCGGACTAGGTGTTTGCACAAAGAATCGCAAAATAGTGCCCATGTGAGGTTTTCAAAAGTATCAAGGCCACTGGCCTTGCTTAATGTCCAATACATGCATGAGGTGTCCCTCTGTGAATCATTGATTGTCAAAGAAAGTCAGCATATGCAGAGTATATATATAGAACAGCAAGTTGGCCCTGAACGTTTAACACAAAGTGGCTCACAAGTAACAAACTACACACTCGTGAAATTAAGAACATGTCCGTCAATATGTTTGCATAAACATTACTCACTCTCATTCTCTATCATTACTGTAGTTGAGACATGCTCTGCCTAATGTCAGGCGCTCTTTTTCTCCAAACAACCTAAGCAATGGATGGGCGTCGGTTCATCTTCGAGCCCCCAAAAAATAGAGAGAGATATTCTACGAAGCGCACTCCCTTGTGAAGGACCCCAACATGACTCTGGTCTTCCATTTCGTTGAGGCACTGAGCAACAGAAAAAAAACGCATGGTGCCTGACACTCCGAGTGTTTGAACGCCTAGACCGTCAGACTGAGGCTGCGCACTTCCTCGGACTCTGGGGGTGTCAAGCTGCTGGCTAGATATCCCTGACGAACCGAACGAACGACGATGTCCGGACGAACCGAGCGGACGAACAGCGAACGAATGCGTAACTTGATGAACATCCACCTGCGAACCAAGGAGAATGCCGATGTTTGCCGGGTCTTCGCGGAGATTCGGGCATGCCAGGGTTTCTGGAACAAAAGGGAGCCGATTCATACAACTCAATCGGCGCGAGCTGCCTCATCCGCTCTCAGTCTCTCCCTCTCTCGCGATATGTACATATATATATATATTATATGTATATAGTTAATATTAGTATCTATATATTCGGCATCCCTCAAACACTTGCACAGAATCACAGGAATCATGCGACGTCCAATGGGGCACATCTAATGGCGTGCCTTCATGTGTCTTCACTTCGAATGCAGGGGCACCCACTGGGACACTTCATTGCAACAAAGCCAAGGAAGATCAGGCAGCCCAATCGGACGGCGTCACGGAATCAACCAAACACAGGATGACACAGGTATGAATAATACTTCGCCCTCTTAAGGTTCCAAAACTTCGGCAACATGTAACGTCAGAGACGCAATAGAAGCGGAAAAAAAGGGGGCCAAAAAAAGCGCGCCTGCATGACTGTGCAGCCTGTGTGGAGCACCTCAGCGTGAAGTGCTTCAGGCTGAAGACTGAAAACAACCGATCTGCCGCCGAAACAGCTTCAGTTGCCTGAGACGCTCCATGTGGCGCGTCTCAGGACCCGTCTCGTCCCGTCTCGTCTCGCAGTCGTCGTGGCGTGAGACGACGTGAGACGTTCGTCCTCCCGTTCGTAGCGTCCTTGCTCCTAGTACGGCCAGGAGCCCCGTTCGTAGCGTCCGAACGCTCCGTTCGTAGCGATGCCAGGAGCCCCGTTCGTAGCGAAGCTTGTTGATAGAAGCGAAAAATCACCGTTACTCCCCACAAGACTTCCACCTCCCACCCCAAGCATCCGAAAACGACCATTTGGATCAGAAAGGGCCCCGCCATTGGTTCCAGTTCCACGAGTGAACCAACACACTTCCAAAGGAGACACGTCCTCGGTTGAAGTTGAACTGGATTGGCAATGAACCAGACAGGTATATTGCAACCAAATGACAGCGTTGGGAAAGCCCGCCAACCTTTCAACGAACATTCTCCACCAGGAACTTGGGAGTAGGACATTAAAACGATCATGCCTAGAAGGGGCCCATATATATACAGTACCTGGACCCTCCTGTCGGGGTGTCCAATGACTACCCCACACTACCGATAGGCTTCCAGACAGGGCACCCCTTGGAGGGTCCTGGTATATACATGATATTACATGCTATGGCGTTGCCAACTGCCGTGTTCAATTTCTCATCATCTCGGGCCCCGAGCAGCACCCGATGCATGCAATGCTGGGCGGTCAAGTTGCGACCACCACGGAGAAGTTTGGCTTCTGACTCTTCTTAATTGGTCTTAATATGTCTTAATTGCTGGTGAATGTGCATTCTTCCCCCCATGCTTCACAGGTAGGCAGGACTGCAAAAACAAAAAGAACACATGCTGTCATGGTGTCTTTGCGTCTGGCCATTTTCCACAAGTATTGTGCTCTTTCTTCCCCTGCCTTGCCTACTAAAACCACGATGGACAACAATGATCATCTCTTTTCCACGTGCTCCAAGGCCGTGGGGGAAGTCTTAAAGGCTTTGGGTCGAAGGCCAGTCCGTGGGTCGAAGGCCAGTCCGTGGGCTCTAACGAGGTGAACATCGGTGAACCTCGTTTCTTGTTGCTGTGGGACTGTGGGGATGTTTGAGGCTGAACTCGCCCGCTAGTTTCTGGTCGCCTGCTTTCACTGTGCAATCTGAATTCGAAATGGCTGACCAACGGCTCATGCACATCAGGCCCGTTCGCCAATCGAGTCATGGGAAGAGAAGGGAGGCGTCAGTGTATCCTCGAATTCTCTTTCAATCCCGATCAGCTGGGATCAGCTGGGATCGGCCGGGATCCGGGTTTGGGCCCTCCCATCCCACACACGGGACGGACTTGGTGATCAGGCGAATCAGGCACATCAGGCGATCACGGGGGGGAGCCACAAATGGACTCCAAAGCACCACTTTTTCATCTGCAGAAACCGTGCGGTTTGCCGACTCATGCGTCCGCCGAATTGGTGGACGGGCACTTTCTCGGGCGTCGGTGGACTCTTAGACTCGTTGGGGGACTTGTAGGTTTGGGACAAGTCTTGCTGCAACCAGTGGGTTTGGATGAGAACTCTATGACTCTATGTTTGACCAATGCCCAAATAGGGCCCCTGAGCAATCTTGAGGGATGTCTACAAGAAGCAGGAACACAGGAACTTCCTGCAAGGCCTGGCAGGCGAAGGAGCTCCTGGAAGTGTTCCGGACACTTCCAGAACAATCGCACCCCAGCGGCTCAACTGCTCCACTCAATGGGGAAACACTGTAGCTCTGCTCTATTGTAATTTCGATCGAAGAGCCTCTTTCGGCCCACGTCCAAAAGCTGAACCCGTCCACTGGCTGATGTGCAGGCCCTGAGGGGGCACTGGCTCTACCACTGCCTGAATCCCATGAACTGCACAAAAAAGACAAACCCCGCGCCTGGTGGAAGGAATCCACAACCATGTTCAAACCCGATATGTCCCATGAAAGCCAAGGCAGCCAGTCGACTGCTGTTCAATCCACTTCGCTTCCACCGAGGTGACATGGGTCATCAAGGGTCCCCTGGGATGCCCAGGGCCCCGTTAAAAAGAGGATCCGGACTCATCCGGCTCCACCAACTCACTGCCAAAAATGGCTGCTTCCTTGGTCCCATCCAGCGAGCAAAGAGACACATGTTCACCAACTCGGCTCCGTCCCTGGAGGCTCACCGACCAATAGTGCCTCTAGCAGTCGCAGCCTGCAGGTGTTTACCAGCCGCTTGGAATGAACAGCTTCGTCTTGAGACACAAATTGTCTTGGCCACCCTTTTTGTCCAACATTGTCCAACAGTGAAGTGTTGGGGAGTTATGCAGGCTTTCTTGCCAGCCAAAACACCGACAACAAACAACACAAAATGCCTAGATAGCACCACTGCGGAGAAGCCTTCAACCGGAACGCTTTTGCAGCAATTTGTCAACCACGCAAATGCCTGCTCTTTGGGGGGCGGACCCTCTAAAAATGGAGCTGGACTCTTGACAAAACTGTCTGCTGAACGAAGGTGGAACTCAAAACTGTGTAATGACTCCTACGGTTTGTTGGGTGGAAAAGCACTCAACAAGTCAACCGTAACTCCCTGGCTTCCATGTAAGCTCGGAATGGGGGATCAATTTGGGATACCTTTTAGCATCTTTACTACCACCTAAGGACCTAAGGTGCGCTGCCCACCGTGCAGCTGAGGATCTCCTCTCAGTGCCGAAGAAGAACCGGAACGGTCAACGTCATGCCGAAACTGGGGCTGTGGAACTCACGGTGCTGGACGAGGAGCTCGAGGAGCCAAGCATCTCTTGGGCTTTGCTCAGGAACTCCTGGAGGATCTCGTGATGCTTTTCCTCAGGAGAACGGCTCAGGTTATGAAAAACAATGCAATTTCCAGATATTGCAATTTGATGCAATTTGCATTTTTGTATTAAGAAAATACCATTGGGTAGAATCTGGGAATGATATTAAT